TGTCGTCTTGTAGTGAGTTATTCTGGAAGCGGGATTTGGGCAGTTCGGTCATGGCGGGGAGAAAAAAAGGGGAGATTTCGGCGAGCTGACGGGGGGGGGGGGGGGGGAATGCCGCCGCTTTGCAATGTAAGCGCGGCGACGATGCGGGTCAGAATTTCTTGCGGAAGGACGTCGAACCATAGCTTTGGGCCCGACGGAAATTCCTTCAGGACGGGCGAGTTCTTCTTGCGGCGCTTGACGGGCAAGGATAAGAATTCTGGTTCCATCCTTGGGTCGGCGAAAGACGGAGAGACGGGAAGATAAGGTGACGTGCGCAGATATGGAAACTGCACCGTATCAAAGGAGATGAACACCGGTGGCTGCGGGGAAAACGAACGCAATCAATAACGTTGTCCGTGAAATAATGGGTTTCCATTTTTTTTCCATTTGCCGACAAACTCACTGGACGTAAAGTAAACCCGAGTTTGAAAAATCCCGCGACGAGTTTTGCGAACTGACCTCCAGCAAAGTACCTGCCCGCAACAAACGCAAGTCTAGTACATCGTTGCGCCGCCCGACGGATCACGTGCACCTGCGCGAATACTCGCTGAAGCGAAAATTGTAGCTCGCCACAAGGATAGAAAGGTTCTCAGTCGAAAGGGTGGTGTGTTTCGTCTTCTTGACAGGCTTGGGGGGGCCGTTTGGGAGGACCGCTATTTAGAAGCTTCTACTTGTCTATCTTTCGCGGTTGCTTCGGCGGCATCTGTGGCAGATCCTGTCACGCTTTGATCCCTTGGTGGACTCTGCGCAGATGAAGCGATAGGGGCGTCCAGCGTCCATGACGCATATCGCTACGAACCCGTGCAGTCTGGGACTCGTTTGTGTTGATGAAAAGAACGGAAGACCCACTTCGTTTTTCTTCACGACGGGTCGATCCGGCAGTGCCGTGATCAGGCGGATGTGAAACTCGTGGAAAACTCACATGCCCCGAGTTTTCGGTATGCTGTGCGTTTTGCCAAACGCGTTGTTTGAAATTTTTGCGTTCAGAAAATCCGAGCAAACTCGCCGCCAAAACACGCGTTTTCGTGACTTTACGGACAACGTTATTAGATCGAAACCCTATGAAGCCTGTTTGGACAACATTTCTTTAACGTACATGCCCTCGGCAATAACATGTTGCTTTACTGCGCTGCACTGCAAGACGCTGGGAATGCCTCTGGGCTCCCTTCCTGCATTTGCATTTTACATTGTTGCCGTTGTAAGGTGGTGGAGGGATTTGTTTTCGGATGAAGTGGTAGAGATTTGGTGTGCGCAATGAATGTATGCCAACGTGTCGTGTATTCAAAAAGACTTGGGACAGAGAGACACGGTAGCATTTGACGTCGACTTATTGGATTAGGGGCTGCAAAAAGACGTGTTGTGTGGCGGAGACGGTGTGGCGGTCTCGGATCAACAAGACAAGGAACGGCAAGTACAGGATGATCAGCGTACACGTTGTATTCCTATCCGGCAATACATGAATAGAATCGACGCGGTGGGGATGATGAGAAGTCATCTCTCGGAGGAAAGAAAGTGTACTAAAAAATACCGTAATAAATGTAACATTAATGCAGCTGAGAAAGTGTACTAAACAGCTGAGCCCTCAGGGCCGGTCTTAACAGAGCACGTTTCTTGCCCAACACCACCCTTATTATATCAATTTTGACTGTACAGCTGACCGGGGCGTCGGCTGTTGTCCAAAATCGAGCTCAGGAGGGTCTTTTTTTAGTTAAATAAGTTCGTTTTGTTCAATTATTGGGGCACCCCCCCTTTACTGTAGCGCTACTGTAGCATGTTGGATCCTGTTTAGCTGATGTCCCACTGACCATCAACCATCGTAAAACTACGAATATCTTCAGTATCTATACAAGTGGGCTCCGTGCGCGCTTCGCGCGCCAAGCCAAGTCCCTTCCTCCTCCGCTCCTCGTTCTGCACACGCTGTCGTTCCCCGCCCCGCTGCTCCCTCTCCCTCTGCGCTACTGCTCTCGTCCTCACTCCGGTCTTCGTCGCCCCTTTCCCCCTCGTCTTGCCACGCGTACCGCCCCTCCGTGCTTACTCTGGCTGCAGGTCGCGCTGCTCTCGCCACACTCGCCTCAGTCCTGCTCGCCACCCTTGCCCAGGCCGTTACCCTGGTCGCTACGGTTGGCACTCCCGTCCGCCTCAACCTCCGTACCGGCGAACCCGTGGCCCCCCGCCCACACTGCCGCCTCCCTCTCCCCGCTTCTGCTCTCGACTGTTTCGCCGCCGCCCGCGTTGCCTGCCGCCTACGCCGCGAGGCGCTTCGCTTCCTCAATCCCCGCACTCCCACTTCCGTGCCCCTACCCTTTCGTTATTCTATGGCTCTCACGCTCTAGGCACACGCCCGCGCAATCACACCTCACCCGCCGCCCCGCCCTACTCCACCCGGCCCCTCTACTCGTGCGGCTCGCCCCGCTCCCTCCCGCCCTGCGGCGGCCTTGCCCTCTTCGTCGCCGGCCTCCGCCCCTGCTGCTGCTCTTGCCGCCCCCAAGTAACCGTCGCCTCGCGTGCCCGGGCTTGCACTCCCACCTCGCCTTCCGCTCCACCCATTTCGCCGCCTGTGCACCTCCCGCTAGGCTTCCTGCTCCGACCTTTGCAGTTACTGCTCCCGACGTCCCCACCCTTGCTGCTGCTGCCGCTGCCCCTGCTTCGTCGCGTGCGCTCTCAGCGAGTCTCCCGCCCTCCACTCTCCTGGTTCCCCTCCCCTCCTGCCTCTTTTGACCGCCCTACGATCCCTCCTCCCCTTATGATGCGCTTGCCCCATCCCCTGCCTGCCCGCCTCTTCTTGATCAAGCCGATCACAGCCACCTTCCCCTCTGCACGCCGTTTCCATAGGCCCTCCTTCTCGTCCGTCGCGGTGCCGCTCCCGCACCCACAGTCATCACAGTTAGTCAATGTTCCCTCTCGTACGCTGCGAACCCCGCGGAAGGAGCGCAGCGCGACCGCCTGGGCGTCAATTCCCGGCCCCCCCTCACCCGCACGCGTCTTCTTGCGCTGCCGGCTGCGACACCTGCCCGCCTCGCAGCGACGGTCTTCGGCGTTCCTCGCCCCTGCCCCTCGCGCCGGCGCTCGCCGCCACCCCCTTCCCCCCCGGGCGCGGTCCGGCCCCTTCCGCACGCGCTCCGCACCCACCTCTCGGGCCTCGTCGGCGGCCTCTGCCTTCACCTACCGTGCGCGACCCTCGCTACAGCGTGGCCATTGTGGTACAACCGTAGGGACGCTAAACCGTAAACGGAAAAGGACAGGCTGTACCTAAAATGAGGGAGCTTGGGGGACCGCTACACTGGAGCGTCAGGTAGAATAATCCGGAAAGGTAGGAAGCACAGGACAAGGGAGGTACACCGCACTGGACACGCGCAGTCGTACTGGGGTGTAGAGCAGTACGACCGGTGGCGAGCCGGAAACCTGAGGGACTTACTTAACCGTACGGTAAAGGACTAGGGTAGGAAGTAAGGGGAGGCGTGCTTGCCTCGGTTTACCTCCAGCCCGGTGCCCCCCTATCTTATACCCCCTAGTAGGGCGGTGGCACCGGACGGACTAAAGTAGCTGTACATACTGTAGCCCGCTTACTGTAACTTACGGTAACTAAAAAATG